GCACAGTTTATTTGACTGCGGCCCAGTTAGATTGCATGGCGTGAGCGCTGTGACATATCTTGGGAGGTGCCCGCTGGAGGCATTTGAAATCCCGTATTATCGTTGAATTTTCAACTGCCTTCAACACTGTGTTGAGAGGTTCTGGTTAAAAGTATGCGCAAGAGGTGACTGGAGGTGACTCCCATAGTACTCTTTGCTGAGAGGCGGAGTCCCGAAGCAAATAGTAATATCGGAGTCGCCGAGGCCCACAGTTTCAATCAGTTCCTCGAAAAAAGGCATGGCATATTTTTTTTAATCCTGCATCGAAATTGTAAAAAAAGACACACACACAAAAAAAAAATATGTATTGAAATTTCAAAAAATTAAAATATCAATAATTTCTATTAAAAAGAATTCAAAAATATAAGAAAATTACTAAATTAAGATTAGGAAAAAAAAGAGCAACTCCCAAATAGTACTTCTCTCCTAAATAGTACTTTTTCAGAGCAACCTTAAAATAGTTGAAATACTTCTGGTCACGTGACGAGCTCTCAGCCAACCAAAAGCCAATAATATTTTGATACATGATATAATACATTTTAAGAGCAACAGTCTATTGAGATTAGTTCAGGATCGATATGGACTATTAAAGTAAATACGTAATAAGCTGGCCCTACAAGCTAAGATGAGCATCAACACAACTTCTGAAAGTCCTTAAACAATGTCTAAAAAATTGTATATTTTCGCTTTGAGATTTCCCACTGTAGGTGCCCTTTTTTCCAGAAAATGCCCTTTTTTGTTGGTGCCCCCCCCCCCCACTTTGAAAGTCGCTCGGCCGCCCCTGACGGTAATTGTCAATTTGATCTTGGAATGACGGAGTTGAAGGAAACATTCACAAGGATGAAATGTGCAATTCTATTAATAAACAAAGAGAGTTTCAATACAAACAATTACAAGGGGCTGTATGTACGAAAAGAGAGCTCTTTAAATTTGGTTTTGAGTCAGACCATTTTTGTTCCTTTTTTAGACAAGAAGTAGAGACATAGTAGAGACATACCAACATTTATTTTTAGATTGTCTTAAAGTTAAACGATTATGGCAGGAGGTATTTCAAAAGTTACATTTTATCGAAATTTACAGTGATGATTGAAAACTCATTTTTATGGGAATATCCGGCAATACTGCTAAAAAATTTGTAATAAATTGTATCATATTTTTAGTCAAGTATGTCATTCTTATTTCTTGAAAACAAGGAACTCTGCCATCTTTACATAAAGTAGTACTACATATCCTAAAAGATTAAATAAACGAGGAATACAAAATAGCCTTCAAAAAGGGGAAACTGGAGATGCACTTACAGAAATGGGAACAAATCGATGCATTTTTACTTTAATGGATGCGGGTATTATTATTGTTTTTATTGTATTTTAATTCTCTCATGTACAGGTGGACAAACCTGAACAGGTTGCAGTGTGTGTGTGTCGGCGTGAAGGGGGTGTGAGGTGGGTGAGCCACAGGGGGGGGGGGGTGTGTGAAGAGTTTGTGTGGTGTGAGTTGAGGTTGGGCGAGCTAGTGTGTGATTGGGTCGGACTAGGTAAAATTCATACCTTCCTCTATGGTTATTTTGATTATTAACTGTTACATGAAAGAAAAAATGTACAGATAGGGCGGGGGGATAATTTTACTTTAGTTCATTTATTTTCTTTAATTATTTCATGTTTTTACGCAATGTACACAATTTTGCATTTCAGCCATCTGGCTGCAAATGAATTTTCAATAAAACAATTACCATAACTATTACACAGACACAGACACCACATACACACGCGCGCACACGCACATACAATATTTGTTTCTTCTATTTATATAGTGGAGATGCATGGGGCAGGAATGGGAATTGAAATATATGACGGGCATTTCCAATATATACCGAAATCACCTGGCTATGAAGAAGGAAAAAAAGGAAAAGAAAAAGGAGAAAAGAACCGAAGAAGAAGAAGATCGAAGAAGAATTCACGAACGAAGAGATTCGATTATTTTTTTTAAAGCTTTTTTGTTTTTATTCATATTTTCTTAAATATACAAAATGATTAAGAGGAACATAAATTTTCTCATTCATTGACAGGGCCGTAGCCAGGGGTCAATGTCGCTATTCATAAGGACCGCTATTCGTAAGGTCCGCTATTCATAAGGTCCATTATTCATAAGGACCGCTATTCATAAGGTCCGCTTTTCATAATTGGAGAAAAGGGTCATTATTCATAAGGGTCATCATTCATAAGGACCGCTATTCATAATCAAAGAAGAGGGTCGGTATTCATAATATTAGAAGAGGGTCGCTATTCATGATACGAAATCGGGGTCGTTATTCATAAGGGTCCCTATTCATAATATTACAATAGAGTCGGTATTCATAACACAGAAAGAGGGTCGCTATTCATAATACGAAATGAGGGTCGCTATTCATAATACGAAATGAGGGTCGCTATTCATAATAGGAGAAGAGGGTCGCTATTCATAATAGGATATGAGGTTCGCTATGCATAATAGGAGAAGAGGGTCGCTATTCATAATAGGAGAAGAGGGTCGCTATTCATAATAGGAAATGAGGGTCGCTATTCATAATAGGAGAAGAGAGTCGCTATTCATAATAGGAGTAGAGGGTCGCTATTCATAATAGGAGTAGAGGGTCGCTATTCATAATAGGAGTAGAGGGTCGCTATTCATAATAGGAGAAGAGGGTCGCTATTCATAATAGGAAATGAGGGTCGCTATTCATAATAGGAGAAGAGGGTCGCTATTCATAACAGGAGAAGAGGGTCGCTATTCATAATAGGAAATGAGGTTCGCTATTCATAATAGGAGAAGAGGGTCGCTATTCATAATAGGAGAAGAGGGTCGCTATTCATAATAGGAGAAGAGGGTCGCTATTCATAATAGGAAATGAGGGTCGCTATTCATAATAGGAGAAGAGGGTCGCTATTCATAATAGGAGAAGAGGGTCGCTATTCATAATAGGAGAAGGGGGTCGCTATTCATAAAAGGAGAGGAGGGTCGCTATTCATAACAGGAGAAGAGGGTCGCTATTCATAATACGAAATGAGGTTCGCTATTCATAATAGAAGAAGAGGGTCGCTATTCATAATAGAAGAAGAGGTTCGCTATTCATAATAGGAGTAGAGGGTCGCTTTTCATAATAAGAAATGAGGGTCGCTATTCATAATAGAAGAAGAGGGTCGCTATTCATAATAGAAGAAGAGGGTCGCTATTCATAATAGGAGAAGAGGGTCGCTATTCATAATAAGAAATGAGGGTCTCTATTCATAAAAGAAGAGCGAACCTCATTTCGTATTATGAATAGCGACCCCCTTCTCCTATTATAAATAGCGACCCTCTTCTCCTATTATGAATAGCGACCCTCTTCTCCTATTATGAATAGCGAACCTCATTTCGTATTATGAATAGCGACCCTCTTCTCCTGTTATGAATAGCGACCCTCTTCTCCTTTTATGAATAGCGACCCCCTTCTCCTATTATGAATAGCGACCCTCTTCTCCTATTATGAATAGCGACCCTCTTCTCCTATTATGAATAGCGACCCTCATTTCCTATTATGAATAGCGACCCTCTTCTCCTATTATGAATAGCGACCCTCTTCTCCTGTTATGAATAGCGACCCTCTTCTCCTTTTATGAATAGCGACCCCCTTCTCCTATTATGAATAGCGACCCTCTTCTCCTATTATGAATAGCGACCCTCTTCTCCTATTATGAATAGCGACCCTCATTTCCTATTATGAATAGCGACCCTCTTCTCCTATTATGAATAGCGACCCTCTTCTCCTATTATGAATAGCGACCCTCTTCTCCTATTATGAATAGCGACCCTCTTCTCCTATTATGAATAGCGACCCTCTTCTCCTATTATGAATAGCGACCCTCATTTCCTATTATAAATAGCGACCCTCTTCTCCTATTATGAATAGCGACCCTCTACTCCTATTATGAATAGCGACCCTCTTCTCCTATTATGAATAGCGACCCTCATTTCCTATTATGAATAGCGACCCTCTTCTCCTATTATGAATAGCGACCCTCTTCTCCTATTATGAATAGCGACCCTCATTTCTTATTATGAATAGCGACCCTCTTCCCGTGTTATGAATAGCGACCCTTATAAGTAATGAACCTTATTTCGTATTATGAATAGCGACCCTCTCGTCGTATTATGAATAGCGACCCTGATTTCATATTATGAATAGCGGTCCTTATGATTAATGACCCTTAATATGAATTATGAATAGCGACCCTCATCTCACGTTATGAATAGCGGTCCTTATGATTAACGAACCTTATTTCTTTATGAATAGTGACCCTCTTTTGCCATTATGAATAGCGGACCCGGAAGTACGGGAATTTCCACGTTATGAATAGCGGTCCTTATGAATAGCGGACCTTATGAATAGCGGTCCTTATGAATAGCGAAAAGACCCCGTAGCGAGAGTTTGATGTGTGTGTTTTTTTGTTGTTTTTTTTTGGGGGGGGGGCACATACATGTAATTGATCGACGTCCTGGGGAGGGATTTAAAAAAGTTCAACCGATCTTGGAAATGTTTGGGGGCACGTCCCCCCCCCCCCCCCCCCGTGCCCGCCCCATGGCTACGGGCCTGATTATAGATACAGAAATATTTTTAAAAATATTTTCCATAAGTATCCAAACTAATAGTATATATTTAATCAATACAATCTGCAATTTTGGAGGTAAAAATAATTTTGTCAATATAAAAAAGGATAAGGTGACGGTAAAACTTCATATCAATATTTTCGGATTCAAAATGATATAAAGGAACAATTTTTACAGTGTAAACATATCTTATATGCAATTTAATTAGTTTAATATAATTAAGCTATCTGAATAAAGATTTTCTCATATAATAAGTATAAGGTGAATGTGCTGCCGCTCATAACACGAAGATAAAGAGCGCCATCTATCGCTCAAACTACTTCATATCATTTAATTAATCTTTCAAAATCTGGGTTGTTTTTGTCAAGTGGTCTTCTTTCCGCTGGGATCTCATTGGTAGAATAATTTGTTAGTGTTTGAACTGATTAAGTTTTGATTTCACTTATGAAGTGAGCTTCATAAATATTTATCACTTCATTTCCGCATATGCTGTAGGACGAAGCACAGCACAGTGTTAAATATTTTAAAGCCACGGCAGACATTTTTAAAAGTAAAGTTGTGCTTTTATTTTGCTTACAGCTGAAACTCGGGGAAAATTAATTAGGAAGGTCAAAGTGACAACTATGGCAGATTCTCCCTTTAGATCTACACCAAGTTCAAAACGTCGAGATATGTACAAGAAGACAACTCCATCCTGGAAAGATGCCTATAGAAAGGTAAATATGTACGGAGATGGAAATTGAGTGTAGAATTAGAACGGCTTGTCCCCGCTCTGGCACTGCTTGGAGCGTGAGTGGCCAGCGGATTTGATCTTCCGTTTACGCCGCCTTCGTGCCGACGGGGAAGCATGGCTAAGGGTCGTCTTCGCATTTACTTGGGCCTTGCCCTCATTATTCATTATTGCTAAATGTTATTGTTTTTTTGCAGTCGTCTGTATTTCTTGTTGTTTGTTTGAAATCTTAGAAATTCAAATTATGAATACGGCATGACAGATGCAGATTGCCTCAAAATCGGGGGGGGGGGGGGGGGGCGTAACAAAATGGGCGCTGTTCAGCAGTAGGGGCGCTGGTCCGAGAATAAGGATCGTCTTCATAAACGAGGATCGTCTTCCTAAAAACGGACCCATGCGTCCTCAAAAATAAGGACCGTCTGTATTTTTGCAGACGTTTCAAATTTTAATTTGGCGCATTGGCGATGCAAAAAACGGATTCTGCAATGATTTTCTTGATGCATTTTACATTGACATTGTACAGAGACTTCACATTATCAGCAATAAATCCTTGGGAAGACGGACAACCCATAAAAAAAAGTAGACGGTGAACTAGGGTTATTTTCCCCCGGGGAATCCGTTTTTGGCATCGCCAGCAGGCCGTTCTGTAACATGAAACCCCCAGAGCGCCGATGAAAAAAAACGTCCTCAAAAATGCAGACGACCCTTATTTTTGAGGACGCATTTTGTCCTCGTTTATGAGGATATCCTTGTTTATGAGGACGATCCTCATTCTTGGACCAGCGCCCCTACTGTTCAGACACCTTCTACTACTAGTAATACTCGCCTAAGTTAGACTATCCAAAATTTGACCCGTATCTCCGGCGTGGAGATACCCTACTAAAACATATCCAAAATGAAGTAATTAGTCTATTCATTAAATGTCCAAATAAAATAAAGATAATGTCAACTTTCTTGTTATTTTTTGAGTACTTTTTGGATAACAGTGATTTTTATCATTTTAGTAGATTTCTAGGCCTAGACTATACACTTTTTCACAGGTTTCACAGCAAACCGCTGCACAATAACAAGTGCATATGGATTAGTGCTGTAAGTCAGACGCTATGTTCGTGTTCGGTTCGGTTCGGTAGAGTTCGGCAATTTTTCACCCGAACTTGGTTCGGTTCGGGGTTCAGTAATATAATAGCAAGCAGCGTAATAGCCACGGCGGTCGGCACTGGGCGGGCCGGCTGGCCTGCCGGGCCCGACCAGCACGGAGGACCTCTGCACACTGCTTCCGACCAGCCAAATTTCACATTAAAAACTGCTCTAAACGTAATTATTTGTGAAGAAAAATACTACTTACATTCGTATTTCCGTCTTGAATCGTGTTTTATTTTCAATTTTAAAAGAATCATGTTTTCAATTTGTCAATAAATGATATTTTTTAAAGATTTTCCGAGATGGTTGTTGTCTAATGTTAGAGTCATGAAATATGCCATCTTGAACAGAAAGTCAGGCTTGTCAATAACTGTTTTTTTTATAAATTTTTATTTTCAATAGGAAAATATAAAATCCCTATTTTTCCTAAATAAATAAATACCATACTAGATCTATAATATTTATTTATTTCATTATTTATATTGTAAAATTTGTCCGATATTGTTACAATTAAAATATTAATTTTTTGTTGAATGGGTTTGAGCTGAAATTGTTTTGACCACGCACATGTATTCTTGTTTATGGCTTGCGATCGCGACGTAGCATGGTCAGGATTTGGGATTTAATGCAAGGGTCACTCTGTGGCCTGGACCCACCCTCCTCAGAGGTCGCCAAATATCGACGTCGACTCGACGCCTAAGCCTGACCCTGACCTATTTGTTGTTGTAGTGAAGTCCTAACGTTCGTTTTTCTTCATTGGGTGAAGCTTTACTATACAAATTGATGAAATGTGTGAAGCTTTGACGAGTAATTTGTTTTTTCTGGTGATGTGACATCGAATCCAATACCGTGTAACCAAGCTATTGTGAATAGGAAATTTGATAAGCTAACATTTTATAAACCAGACCAAAAATGAGTTTTAGCTTGGTTTATCTACACTACAAAAATAATGTGACAGTACTGCCTGTATAAAAAGAAATGTGCACTTGTGCAACTTCATTATTTTTATAGTGTAGTTTTAATGAACACAATGTCAAAATCTAACAACGCAAACCTGAAATTTGTCTGGAATGAACATTTTCTTTCATTTCCAAGTAACAGAGTTTAATAGGTAACAGGAGTTAGTGTTTATAGTTAACAAGAGTTAGTATTAGAAAACAAGAGTTAGTATTAGAAAACAAGACTTGTAGTTAAAACAACTTTTGTATAAACGTTTTAAGTTTCATAACAACATATCTGTAGAAACATTGGATTGACAAAATAAACATGTTACTGTATCTTTGAATTGAAACCTGGTTGACTTGGTACTTATTGAGCAGTATGGAATTACTATCATGACTATAGACCATTGCAGTCATGGTCTACTATTATAAGTAAACATTGGTGGAGCTTGATTTCAAAACGTGAAGCTTGAAATATGTAATGGCCAATATGGCGAAACAGTGGTGAAGCTTGAACTATGCAAATGGCCAGTATGGTGAAACAGTGGTGAAGCTTCAGACCGGCCGAAAACTTACAAAAGTGAAGCCTCACCTATGGAAAACTGACACAAGTGAAGCCTCACCTATGTAAAACTGACAAAAGTGAAGCATCACCTATGCAAATAATTCAAAGGGTGAAGCCTGGACTAACACATTTGCTGATAAGAGTGATGCTTTGCCTTTGTTTTTTGTAAAGCACATGAAGTGATGGTGAAACCCTGAGGTTACAAATAATTGGCTCAGGTGAAGAAAGGTGATGACCTGAGGAGGGTGGGTCCAGGCCACAGAGTGACCCTTGCATAAATGGCGCCAGTGAAGTCGCGCCCACCACTGGATAGGCTTAAATCACAAAGGCAGAAAATAGGAAAAAAGTAAATATAAAATGAGCAATCATGACATGAAAATTAGGTACAAAATGACCAGTTTATTAGCTTGCAAAAACGTTAAAATTTTTGCTGCCGAACATCCGAACCAGGCCTTTGCGTTCGGATCGGTTTGGTTCGGTTCGGAAGTGCCATGTTCGGCGAACTTCCGTTTGGTTCGGCGGTTTGGCTACAGCACTAATACGGATGGTGGGTTGTGGGCGGGCGCGCACGCGCCTGATCTACCGAAATGAGGTGAAACCTGTGAAAAAGTACATAGATCTACTAATATCAACGTTTATCGAAAAATACTCCCCCCCCAAAAAAAAAAAAAATATGATAATAATTGACACGAAACAGTTAATTAACATATCAAATTGTAACTCCAAGATGGCTGCCATGCTAATTATAGCTGGCCATGCCTATTTATTCACAGATATTGTGCTATGTGACTACGGTAATGCAATGTATATGACAAAACAAATGATTTGTGCCACTTCAGAAGCTATTTAAACAAAATGCATATCACAGGCTTTTTATATGGGACTACACAAATGTTGTCGGGCCTAGTACTTACCTTGATTTCCTTATAGTAGGTACAGGTACGTTACAATGTGTGCACTTTCACCATGAAGGTTTCTGCCATGGGGCTGTTGTGCACTATTGGAGACCAATTTGGATAGCCTACGCAAATGCGTTCTTTTGATGGGCTGATTAGATTTTTGTTTCATGATTTCTATTGGATGAGAAGAATGATATTGTTATTGTAACAGTCATGAGTGGATGCATGGTCTATGCTCATCCCTCTCAACCTGTGATGTGGCAAAAAATCCTTTCTCTCCATATTACCCTATAGGCCTACCCTCTCAAGGTCAAATTGAACTTCCCCTCTAAGGGATCACCTCAGAAGTACACTTAAAGGGATCCGGTAACTTTGCCTCAGATTTTGAAACAAAATTCTGGATTTAGCTCATGATGCAATGATAATTATAAACCTTTAGGTCGGTCAGGAACCCCATGACTTTTACAAGCCGATCGCCTGTCAGATTATCAAGATATTTATGATTGGAATTACAAATTTTGAAAACCGTTCGCCTGACGGTTTTCATAACACTACAGTCTATTGGGGAAAACGAGTATGGTAAAACCGGTCACTCAAAGATTTTTACTTTTTTGAGGCACTTCTTGATCATTTTGAAGCGCAATTTTTTTAGGGCTTCAATGTTACACCATATCACAGACACTGATAACATGTAGGGTCGTGTATCTCAGATTTAACATTGTTAAACGATCCCTTTAAAGGAATCTCCTTATTCAGAGACATGGATCCCTAGCTTCAGGGACATCCTCAACAAATAGAATTTAGAAACATTTCGAACTGTCACATTATCTTTCATTTCATACTAAACTTTCTATAATTTATGTTTTCGGCAGTTTGTTTTGCTGCACTGTTTCACAAGAGCCGTGTTTAGTGCCATTCTATACCCTGATCCTGCATTCCGGAAGAGAAAAATGGTATCTAGGATGATTGGTTAACATGTGAATTGCTTTTGGTGAAATTTCAGCAAAATCTATGGATGAGAAATATGTTTTTTTGTATTAGGAATGTGAAAATGTCATGCAAAAATGACGGCCCGATGAGTGGTTTTCGCATATTTACATACATTTTTGGGCGATTTTTTTTGTAATGAAATAGAATCTTTCGGTCACATTTCAGATCACAACTTCTGCTTTAAAAACAAAGTAAAACAAAGCAATTAAATACATGATTTCCGGCGTTTAAAATTGGCATAACTTTCTTATTTACTGGGGCTATTTGGATGAATGAGGCATCAAATAAAAGATCTTATCAAGCTCTGTTTGATGGCATAAAGCAAGAGCTTGAATTCTGAGATTTCATTTTTTTGTAACATACCTACTTATAGGGCTGCGACGAGTAGTCAAATACTAGCACTGTTGACAACTACTCGGGTACGATTTCTCGGGTACGATTTCTCGTACTCGATAATTCAGCCGCAAAAAAAAAACAAAAAAAAAAAATCCCGGTCACCTGGCACTGTCCAGGCCGACGCTTACCCGTGCCAGGGAGAGCGCCTGCTGCCGGCATGGTACCGTCGGTAAAAATGTTTCCCAGCTCAATCACTGTCAAACTCACCACTCAAAAACTGGGACCAAATGTCCCGATTTCTGTTAGGACTCGAAGTAAAATGGATTATTCTGCCATCTTTGGTTTTTAAAAAAGCATTGTCTACTGTTATTATTATTATTAAATCGGCCTTTAACTGCAACTCGAAGTAAAATTGCGTGAGTTTTCGCAGACGGAACTGGGATAAAACTGTTCCCGTGGTATGGTGGTGGCAACAAAAAAAAAAAAAAAAATTAAATTAAAAAGAAAAAAAAAAAATTAAATTTAAAAAATTTAAAAAACATTGCATCCAAATATTCCAGTATTCGCTTGTAAGCCTGGGATTGTACTCGGGTACCTCATTACACGGTTGTGCACAGCCTTATTTCCTTTTCTTTCTTTGCTTATTACTCAGCCAGTAACATTTTTTACCAAAACTGTTTGGCAAATGACATTTATTTGTAATCTGGAACATTCTGTGTAAGTTTCGTTTGATTCTGTGAGAATTCATTTTCTTTGTTTATCAGAACTCAAGTTTATCTTTAATCTTGACCATCTTCTTGACCCCTTTCTGTCTTGCCAGAGATGCTTTGACAGGCTGCGAGGGAGCAGGGAGAGTCTCCTCCAGAGGTTCAGAGGTACCTCGCCCAGTTCTTCACAGTCTACCGCGAGCCCGTCGTCCAGGATCGGGAGTAGTCCCGGCAGTCCCAGTCTGATGGTCACACGGGTCATGGAGGAGGAATGGAGGCTCCTGACAAGGGAGGATCCATCTTTTGCAGTAGGTGCTATCTATTTCTTATAATGATAATAATAATAATAATACTCAGTTTTTATATAGCGTTTATCACAATCACTATTAAACCGTTTCCAAACTTGGAGATTATAACCCCCGCTTTAGCTGTGCTGCCATTACGGCGCTCTAGCATTTCATTAAGATTAATTCCTGCCAGGTACCCATTGACATCACCTGGGTTGAGTGTGGCAAATGTAGATCAATGTCTTGCCAAAGGACATTAGTGCCGCGGCTGGTCTCGAACCGCGGACCTTGTGATCGACAGTTCGGCCACTTAACCACTCGACCACGGCACCTCTACACATGTATACCCCTTGACCTCCCCCTCACTATCCCCACCTCTCCCCCACCATCCCGCCTACTCCCGAGAAAAAGATTCAGATGTATGAAATGCTACGTGAGCAAGAACTTACATTATGTATTTTAGCAACCATCAGCAGTCTAAAGTTCTGATAAATTGTTAAGATATCCAGCAGACTTGTATTCTTGAAGCTTAGCCATCAATACAAGATAGTCAACTTTCGTTTTTATTCCAATTTAGAATCTTATCAATTCATACCAAATCTGCTATAATAGATTAATATTTCTTCCAAGTACTGTACTTGGTGACTTGTGGAACAAAATACAATGTATAACTTGCGTTATAATACGCAAACTGTGCTATGGTATTTAGCTCAATACTGCAGACTTTAATACTAATAATGTACAACAGACTCTCTTTTATTTTTCACCTGCCCTGCACTATGCTGGATGTTTGAGATAATTGCAACATTTAACTACCCTCCCTCTTGTCTTCATGCAAGGAGATCTGTGTGCATCCAAGTCGTGTACCTACATAATGACGGTTACTCACAGCCTCTTGTTACATGTGCCAATATATTTATCTATATTTTCATTCTTCAGCTCATAGAAGATGAATTGGACCTGAGGGAGGAGCTCCAAGAAGAACTCATGAAAGAAGGTAGGAATGATCTCTTGCCAAGCATTATACTTTTTAAAACTCACTAAAACCACTTTTTTTCTTCTTTATTTTAACTTGCATTTCTAATGGCTTTAAAATACATTGAATGCTACCTTTGCTAAAACTAGATACACGAGACTGCATGAATGTACTGTACACGTTTTTATAAAAAAAGACTGGAGGGAGAGGAGAGGACTAGCTCGCAACAAAAGTCCAGGTATATTCACTTTTTTCTTTGTAAGATAAAAAAAACAGTACGCTTAATGATGCTTGCTGTTAAACTGCTGCATTTTACCGCAGCATATAAATGTTACAAGCCGTTTATTGTCACACTAGACTTCAACGACTATGGATTGATTGTGTGCCTTATACTCTGAGGGAAAATAAGATCGCAGAATTTTGTCAAATCAGGCATATCTAAGCCAAATAAAATATTTGAACTTTATTTGAATTTATCCTTCTAGAAATGAGCATCATATCCGAGTACGAAACTAGCCTGAGGTTGGAGGAAGAACAGTTACAAGATACTGTCAACCATTTCACTGAAGGCTCTGTCGTATGCCCTCTCTGCCAAAGGTTTGTGTAGAATTTCAAATGTTTAAAAACTTGTAGAGATAAGCAAGGAATATAAAGCTACAGTTGTCTGAGGTTATAGGAAGAGCAGTTACAAGCTACAGTGATCCATTTCACTGCTGGCTCGGTTGTGTGCCCTATCTGTCAGAATTTTGTGTGGACTCTCTGGAGCCATTCAAACATTTAAAACTAGTATAGTTGAGCATAAGTATGATGCCATTCTGAGGTATTAGGAAGAGCAGAACTTTTACACTCTACCGTCACCAGTTCATTTACAGGTTCCCTCGTGAGCCCTTTCTCTCAAAGGCTTATAAATGTAGAATCATTCAAAAATATCAATAGAGACTACCATCATAGGGAATGTAGGAAGTTACAAACCACTGTCAACCATTTCCCTGAAGGCTCCATCGCATGCCCTCTCTGACAAAGGTTTGTTTAGAGTCCTTCAAATTGTAGGAAAAATAATATCAGTCAATAGTGGTCTTGGCATTGGGAAGATCCTGGTTCAAAACCATTTGAATTAGTGGACAGGCAAATGCAACTAACATTTACTATCATAGTTGTGTGTTCTCATTTCAGTAGTTGTCCTTTCCTTCAAAATATCTTTGATGATGCTCCGACATTTGCTCCTGGCTTAAAAACTGTCCGATTGTCAACCAATTCAAAACTTGTCTCAAGACACATTTATTCAAAATTGCTTTTGATGATTAACTTTAATACTCTGTTCACATTGATGTATATATTTCATGTATTTTGTTTGTTAATAGAGACTTTGGTGTATTGCTATTTGGTTCTAGGTTAGTTTTGAGGTTAGGTCACCTGGGTTAAGTATACATGTAGTATCGGGTCTAGGGTTGAATTTAGGTGTAGGAAATTATCATGTTACAATTGACCCAGGGAGCAAGCATCATGCAACCAATTCTGACCTCACCCCTTGTATGCATATATCTCTCCTCTCTTATCTGCCCACTCCCCCTTCCCATCAATCTCTATTTTTTTTCTCTCTCTATTTAGAAACTGGTTGCTCATGAATAAGGGTATCGTCTTCTGTTCCTGTGGGTTGAGAATTGACACAGCTGTAAGTTATCATCAAATTATTACTTTCATCACCATCATCAAATCATGATTTCTTGGGGGGTCCAAAATTAAAAATTAACTTTCGTTATTCTTGGCTCAATCTTCAACTGGCTTATTAACTTGGACCTTCTTCTGAGTTTTTACCAAACATAATTGCACATTAAAGATAAAGGTGAGTTCTGGTAAAAAAAAAAAAAAAATGAATTCTCACAGAATCAAACAAAACTTACACTGCATGTTCAAGATTACAAATAAATGTCATTTGCCAAACAATTTTGGTAGAAAATGTATACTGGCTGAGTAATGAGCATAGACAGATTAGGAAATCAAGGTTAGTAGCCCCCGACATCATTTGTGTAGTCCCATATACATCTTTCTGTGTACAGTGCTTGTTACTTTACCAAGACTGGGCCAAATGTATTATAATTTTGATGACTCCAGAACTTTGCAGTACACACCAATACTTACATGCTACATGATCAATTTTTTTGATCCATTCCACACCTTTTCTTTCACAATGCAATCGGATGACCAGAACTCACCTTTATCTTTGATGAAAAATGAGTTTCATTGAATAATTGAGGAAGCACCTGCCAGATGACTTTGTTAGAAATGTACAGCTGAGTGTTGGGCAGAAAGAAATATCTGTATTAAAATCCAGCTCTTCCCACCCTTGTGTTGTGCGCAGCAAGCGGGCTCACAATGTGCATTGAGGGAATATAACCTCCATTGAGGTTTCAGTTGATATATTTTTAGTCCAAGCAACAAACTCTTGGAATGAATTAAAGCCAGTGCTCTAGTTCCATGGGTGGAACTTAAAGAATTAAAAGAAAAGGCTTTTAAAAATCTGGTATAGGCTCTATCGACTTTATGATACTGTATAGTGAATGACATGTAGAGCATAAAAGATTGAGTTGTGGTTTGTATTGAACCTACATGTAATTAGAACTGAGCTTAAGTTGTCCATGTTGTCTTTTTTTTTGCTAATAGCAAGATGGTCTGAATCTCGAGAACATTGGTCAGACTCTTGAGCTAGGGGTCAGTCAACACAGCATCCTCTGTCCAGTAACGCCTGTCTTTGCTCTGTTGGAACTGGAGAGACTACAGAACCTTGTCATGTCATGTGAGGTGAGTGCACTTTAAGGGTCCCTCAAAAAACATGTAAGGCGCAATGTATGATCCTTGGGGGTTGACACAATCCCATTGTGTCTAGTAAAGTGAGTGAACCTAGAAAACCATGTAAGGTGCAAAGAATGATCCTTGAGGGTCGACACAAGATAGATCAGGGAGTGAAAAAGGTGGCTTTTGGGATTTAAACGTGTTCGTTCCACACAAAAAAACTAACGACTGACTAATCTACTCGTTATCCTCTTTCTTTTTCTTTTCTACAGACATGCGTCAACTATCGCACATCAAACAAATGCCCTAAAATGTTGATTTGATCACAAATTCAATAGAAAACAAAGGTTAAAACATACTTGAAGAGAAAAATATTCTCAAAAAGAATGAAACGCTGATAATACCAAAATATCAACAACAAAAACCTACTTGTAAATAAACTATAGGTCCTAATATGGAAAAAAAAACAGCCTGAGGAATGTACATTTCTGCATTGGAAGTGTGTCTCGCGTGGTTGTAAATTTCGTTTTAATGAATTCCTTTTTTTTTTGCTTGGAATTCTTTTTTTTGGTCGCACAAGGTTGGCAGCTCTGGCTAAGTAGTTCGTTGCACACAAAAAACTAACGACGAACTAATCAACTTATTTCCCTCTTTCTTTTTCTTTTCTACAGACATGCGGATTCCTGCATATTGTGATATAGCATAGCATCCTGGCGAGGGGGATGGACAAGACAACCGTCTGCAGCTAGTATTACATCTGCTGAGAGCAAGAAGGGCATTAAATGGGATCATTTAATACAGCCTTAAAGGTATAGACCAGTTTTGAAAACGCCCCCTCTCAAAAATGAAATGGAAGCTCCTATTACAAATCATGTGAAAGAATATGTTTCGACTAATACGTGATGATACAAATTTTGCCGGGAAACCGCCTATGATTGTCAAGTTGGTAAATTATCATATCTATCCGGCCTGGATGGATATAGCGTAGTCCCATATACATCTTTCTGTGTACAGTGCTTGTAACTTTACCAAGACTGGCCCAAATTTCTTATCATTTTGATGATTCCAGAACCTTGCAGTATATATCAATACTTATATGCTAGATGATCAACCTTTTCTGATTGATTCCACAACGTTTCTTTCACAATTCAATCGCATCACCAGAACTGGCCTATACCTTTAACACCCTTTTGGCATTCAACAGAGTAATATCTTGTAAATATATTGTGAATAATCGATGGACTGACCTTGACATTGGTATTTATATCTATTAGCGATGTACCTGTTAGAAACAGTACTACATGTGGAGAAACGCATTGCAGCATGTTTTTTTGAGGTGGTAATGAGTATCAGATATGTGTTGATTATGTTGATGGTGTTGATTTGCAATGTTGTGGCGTCATGAAAATTGCTTTGATTATATGAAAAATGAACCACATTCTAAAATAGAAATAATTCATGTTTGCAAGTGCTTTAGTTAATATGCACTGCATGCTGGTTAAGTAGGAATCGGATAGAGAACAAGACTTTTCTAGTTCATTATCACATGCCAAAATTATGCCTCAAAATTTGGTAAGATTGTAAAAGAAATATTTAAAAATTACTAGAGATAAGGCTTTTACCTTGGGTTAAACAACATACACAGAAACGCCAGAATTGTTTAGATTCTAATGAATATGTGTTTGTTGTGCTAATTAACGATTATTTCCCCTTGAATCAGTCAGATATGGTAATACATACAATGTATTCCAGCATGAAACTGCAATTGTCAGTGGGAATTACACTGTATTTTCATAATGATCAAGTTCATTTAGAATGGGTCATGATTGCTGGAGGGAATCTGAAGTAGGTTCTAACTTTGCATAGATCCGTAAAAAAAAAAAATAAAACTTACTAAATTGAAGAAGAAACGTTCAAGGTGTAAATGAGTTTGAAATCAAAATCGGAAGGCAGTATAGTTTGTATCGCTTCAAATTCATTCGTCATAGATGGCAGCTGTTGCTTTATGTAGTAGTGTAGTTGATGCCCATAGCATTTTGACTTGCCTCTTGACTTATTTTATTTACTCTTTTGTTGGCTAAATATATATAAAACTATCATGCCACTTGCCATTTTATGTACATTATGCTGAAACCATCAGACACGAGTAGTGTGAAAACTGTAATTACGTTTATGGTGTGTTCAAACTTCAGATATATGTTTGACTTGGTCATCGGGTTTGTGGTTTAAAGGAAAGGCTACGCTGTTCCTAATCAGAATCATTTGTATACTATGTGTTGGGTCATAGAATTGTGAATATAACTGAAAGTGTCCTTAATATCCTCTCAGTACGTTTGTGTGTGCTTGTAATGAATTGCAATGTACATCCGTGTTCTTTGTAACCTTAAAAAAAATGAACATTTTGAATATTCATGTTGTTTGTAATATGACTTTTTGTATCAAGAGAGGTTGACCAGGGACCCATTTCATAAAGCCTTTTTTCAATGACAAATGACAAAAATCAGTGACAAGTCGGCTGATAACCAATCAGAGGCAAGGATTTCAGTAGCTTATAACAAAAGCTGTCATTTGTCACTGATGACAAGTTTTGTGAAACGGGTCCCAGTTTTCAAGAGCTATGAACAGGGTTGGTTTCATTGCCACCAAAAATTGAAGCACAAGGTATTATGGACTTCAATCTCTGCAACAACACTGATGTTCTTTGGAAGACGTGAAAGGGAAATCATACCCTAATAGCAAACTACTATATTAGAAAGAAAGAAGGAAAATTAGAGAAGCATACTGGTGAGAAGGTTGGACAAAAGATAAGAAAGTGATGAGTTGTTTAACGTTTTAATCACTAAACGTAGGGCACTTCAAATTGGCTGAATCGGTACAGTAATGTCACTCCGATGAAGTGCCGGACAACTTTCCTGCTTGTTGCAAATTACAAAATTACTAGAATGTCAATTTTTTGAAATAAATGATTAGGGAGTATCTTTTCTCTCTAGAGAATCTTTAATAATATACTATTTTGAGTAGTGCCCAAAGGGAAAAAGCACTTGGGAGAAAAACAGAAATTAATGGGATTTTTTGTACACAACAAACAGGGGAGTTATCCACGACTACCCGACACTCCAGTAACCAAATTGCCGATTCGAGATTCGCATACCGGTAGTTTTAGTGATCTCAAGTTTCAAACACTCATAACTTTCTTATCATTTCAAATAAATTCTCATAAATATAATTGTACAATTTTCAAACCCTATGACACTCCAGTAACCAAATTGCCGATTCGAGATTCGCATACCGGTAGTTTAAGTGATCTCAAGTTTCAAACACTCATAACTTTCTTATTATTTCAAATAAATTCTCATAAATATAATTGTACAATTTTCAAACCCTATTTGTATATTCATTGTAGCTGGGTATGTATGTATATTTCTTACCATCATAAAAGTTTGTGTATATTTCATGATTGAATATAGTTGAACTTGATTATGAAGTCATGAGTCGTTTGATCATCCCAACACACTCAAAATGGTAAACTAAGAGTGTATGTCTATGAATTTATTTTTTGTTGTTCAATAACACACGTGCCAGAGAAGAATATGATTTATTTAATTTCAAAATATTTTCAGATATGCGTTTATAGATGAAGATTTGAAAAAATTATTTTGTTTGTACTAATTATGTGCCTGAAATGTTTGTTTCAATTAAAGAATATTTTTATAAGCAGAAGATGTCTTGGTCAGCATGTGTTATTTACGAGCTGTTCTGAAAGGGCAACGCAACCCTTGTAATAATTTCATTGGTATGGAAACAGAAAAATAAGAGAAATGGAGTGACGAAAGTTTGAAATAAATCAGGCCAATAAGAAGGGAGTTATGAATGTTTGAAATGTGAGATCACTAAATCCATGCGAATCTCAAATTGGCAAATTCATTCGGTGGATTGTGACGTAGTCATGGGACAATTCTCCCGTTTGTTGTGTATACAAATATTAACATCTCTTTTTCTCCCACGTGCCTTCTCACTTTGGGGGCGGGGGCACTTTGTCACAATGACATCGAACTAGCCAATTTGAGGTGCCAATAAGTATGGGGTGTTCAACTTTCAAAAATTCATTAATTTCTTATTTCTTATCTGATTTCATTCGTACTTTCACCAGTCTACCTCTCTGATTTCTCTGCTTTCTTTTGGAGTAGTTGTCGTTTAAATCCCGTCTGTACTAGTTTGGCCAGGGGCATTAGACCTCCCTGCAAGGGCAGGTGGTTATCTCATCAAATCAGCTCTCAATTAACATAAGAAAAAGGGATCATGGGGGACCAACAGGCACCGATTTAGCATTGCTTACTTGCTATATGGAGGGCGCAAGTAGCTGTAGCTACATGTATAACTAGTGCAGTGGGGCTTTAAGGTGTTATTTTCCTTTTAAAGGGATCTAGTCAGGGAACTTCGGTAATGCACGAAGTAACTGGGGAAATTTAAAAAAAAGGTGGTAAATGTAATGGAAAATGGGAGAAAAAAATAGGTTGGGGAGGGATAGAGGTGAGAGATTCCAAAATAATAGGTGAAAGAGTAAGTGAGGAAGATTGAAAAGAAAATGTGAGTACATGGAATAAGAAAAACAAATGAGGCCACAGTGAATAACAACATAACCAAGTAAATAAATTACTTTATAAACTGATTTATTTCTCATAATATCCTTATATCTTTAATGTACAATTTTCTTCATTTCATATGAACGTGAAATCAAATTTATGCAAATTGTAATTAAAAACCGCATTTTATAAATGTCCGACAAATCACTGCGAGATGTATTGCTGCATTCATTTCTTTATACATATCTTACAAACTGAAGTCATTCAAACAATAAAATGTAATGCACATGTATAACAACATCATTATAATTTTACTTTTTTTCATGGCAACCTACAAATTAATAGTAGCTATTGGGTTTCGACCAGTTTAATCCTTTCAGGACAGGATTTATTTTGGGGGGATAAATTGATCACATATTGTTATTCAAATTGGCAACAATAATATGTCTTTCATCGCTACAATGATAAAAATAAACTGCCCTGTCTCTGAACACGAGTCACAGACGAGAATGTTCTTGAAATTTTTTTATTGAAAATCAAAGATTTTTAATCTCCCACATGTTGCCAATTCAAGGAATTTAAAAACTTATTTTCCTTTTCAAAATTCCTAGCATCAAATGCAATTATAGTCAAGAAACAAAAATGGATGCAGTTTGTGTATACAGTGTATCTGGTATATTTTTTGGGGGGCTCTGAATCAAACGTTATTTAGCCAATTCTGAAAATGTGGAGGAACTGTCACGAAAAGGTTAATATCCCAGTCGAACTAACACAACAAAAGATTATTGAAATCCATTTTTTTTTGGGGGGGGGGGGTTGATGTAAGGGCAGTTGTAGTGCAAACACTAACCTGACAAATCCTAGACCCATTCACAATCTGTACCCCCTCCTGAACAAAATAAAATCAGTGTACGATCTTCAAAAGATCAGAGCGTACCAAACTCTTGAAACGACATGAAGCCACTTTATCAAGGAGAACACCACCGCTAATGGACCAACATAAAACAGTAATTCACACAGATGGTCCTGATTTTGTTGATAATTGACCTGTTTGGAGGGAGCTTGACAGATGTGACTGGGGTACAGTATGAAGTTTTTATAATGCTTTTCTAAATACAGGTATATGTGTAAAAAGTAAATTCAATATAATTTCTAAAAGCATGGTTCAAGGATTGCTGTTGGATCACGGATTGCTCTGAAGATTGGGGATACAACATGCAAACAATAACACAAAAAGATGAATTTCATCTAGCCTCGTAGTTTTACAAGGC